GCCCTGTGGAGATGTGAATCACAGGTCTCCCTGCTTCTAGTCAAGGATTACATTAGGAACAAAGAATCTGTGAACCTTCAGCTAATCTTGAATCATGGACAGAGGAAAATATAGCAGCAATACAACAGGAACAAGGCTCTCCAGATGTTGCTGTGCTACCATTGGCCAAGCTGGCCAAATCAGCTGGAGGACCATGGGTACCCCTTCTCTCTTTTAGGATGTTCTGCAATATAAACTAATCTCATTGCTCCTCTCTGAAGCGGCTTGCTTTTTGCGCAAGTCTCAACCTATGTTCATATCTTCAAAACAGTAGCTTTTCCCAAGCTTTGGTTCCCAAATACTAGATCAAGATTAAGTCTTCTTGAAAGCAAGCTTGACTTCTGGTGATGCAGAGGACATAGTTTTATTGGCAACAGTAAGGAAATGGTTTTCAGTTGCCATTTTCCAAGAGATGTTTCAAATTCCTGATTAGCCTATAGCTCTGATCTAGGATTCCCAAAGATCCTCTTGGTGGCAAAAAATCAGGAGTCAGGTAGCATCTTTTCTGACAAACAACTTTTATTAAAAGGCATATGCTTTTGTGAACTGCAGCTCACCATCAGATGTGATAAAGTTAAGCAAGAAGCTAAGTAAGAATTCTCTTAACTTCCAAGCCCAGAAAAGGTCAACCATGTGCTGCCATCTGCTGAGACTTCTTAGATACCACCAGATCACAATTCTCATTATTTCCAGCTAGCATTAGAAAAGTTAAGAATGAAGTCCAGCAACATCTGGAAGTGCTAGTTTGGGAAAGGCTGCATTATGGCAAGGAAAGGGAATCCATGTTGTCTTCTATATGTTGTTCAATTACAACACACAACAGCTTGGCCAGTGGTAAGAGATGCTGGAATATTTGGTTTCAGCAACATCTGGAGGGCCATAAGTTCCTGTTGTATTACTGAGGAGATGAGAGAGGGAGATGATGAAAATGTGAAAGAACCAGCTGACAGCCTTACCATATCACCTCTTTATAGTGTTATCCATAAATCAGCTGTTTACACCACATTTATCCTGTTTGCTTCATAATTAACATAAAGTATTGCAGAATGACCTGCTTCTCTTTGAAATGCCAACCGATCAGTTTCAGGTATCTTCCACCAGTAATTTACTTACTTCTTCCCGAGAGTCCAATACCTACTCCATATACTCAGTTTTAATTTATCTGATTTGGGATTTTTTTTTAAAATCACTTTTTTCTCTCTGCAAAGCTTTGTTGTTGTTGTAACCTGAGGATTTTCCCAAAGCTTATGATACCTCTTTTTGGGCAATGTCCCTTTGGTAAAACAGTGACACTTCATCAAACCTGAAGGAATGTTCCATTGCACTTCACCATCAGGATTTGCATAATATGAACGAACTAAATAAGGTATAATTTGTTGCAGCTTTTCCCCAACCTGATTCCTTCCATATATGATGGGCAACAATCTGGGCTGACAACATTCTTTGGAACTGTAGCAAGGAATGCAAACATAATGAAGTGAGCTATCAGAGGAACTGTAGAGTCATCTGAGAACTATGTAGTGGACTTCTGCAGTTTGACTAACCTATGGAACATGAATGATCTAATGGGAATCATGTCAACAGATTATGGGAACGTTTGTGTTGTGTCATTTGAACTACAGATTGTGCTGTTTATTTGGAGATGATTTAAGGAAACTAGGTATATGGTTAAGAGTGCTAAACAGAAAAAAATTAAATCATAGAAAAGTGGCTTGCCGTTGTCATCTTCCAAGACTTCAATTTCAAGGTTCCACATAATAGGCTCTTTAGATGATGAACTACAATTCCTATAATCTGTAACCTTTGGATATAATACTAATGGGAGTAGGAGTCTGTTTCTCTTGCAGATACTCAATTTGTGCCAGGCATTGTTACTGGGCTTCTGTGGTAGACTGTGTGAACTGACAATGAACTCCAAAACAGGTCTGACTTTACATTCCCCCGTGCTGCCATCCTACAAAGGAGGACTGGCGGAAAGAAGAGTGTCCACTATCACTGACTTTCTTATTAAAGAAGAACTTCAGATAAACTACAAAATGAGCAATGTACCAGTGTGGTATAGTGGTTATGGTGCTGGACTGACACTGTGGAGACTGCTCAAGTCCCCCCAAGTCATGGAAACTCACTGGGTGACTTTAGGTCAATTGCTGTCTCTCAGCCCAACCTACTTCACAGGGTGGTAGCTGTGGGAAAACATCTGAGAAGAGTTCCATATTTGCTCTCTTGGCCTCCTGCAAGAAAGGGACGATATAACTAACAAGCGAACAAGCTCCATTTGAAAATGTCTGGAGGGGAAGGCACTGGAATGACAAATGGAATGTAACAATTAAATCAGTCTTCCCCAAACTTACCCTGGGTCAGATTTATTGGGATTGCAAAGTTTGAATTCTCAGCCACCATGACCAATAAGAGCTGGGACTCCTAGAGTTGGAGACTTGACACATCTGGCAGGTACCAGCTTGTGAAACATATTAGATCCATGCATGTATACTCATTCATTCATTCATTCATTCATTCATTCATTCATTCATTCATTCATGTTAGCCCAAATCAATCCACTGCAAGGTGAAGATCTTTAACTCCTTTCCAACATCTTTGATATGCCAAAAGTTGGTTCCAGTTAATACCTTTACAGTGAGTCATATCATCCGTTCAGTATTGGGGGGGGGGGGTTGCTTTTTGATAAGTACAATTTAAATACTCTTAGGGATATTCTTCACATAGCCAAAATTGTGCCATCCAGCACAAGGGGGAGGTATCAAAGGTTTGAGGAAATAATTATTAATACATTAATTGCCACTATATACATGCAGTCACACATAGCTTTACCAGGTAATCTGTATAGCACTATAAAGACCAGGAAAATCTGATCACCTATACACATAAAGGAAAAAAAGGCACAGATTGACACAGGAATGCCAGATCATTTTAGTGTATTGATTGCTCTAAAAAAGAAAATATGACAGAAGAATATATGGTGGTGTTTCAGAACTTGCAAATTATTTTCATGATCACAAAGAAATGTATTGATTTTCTTTCTAACACGAGTCAACCTTCAGGTGGGCATTAGTCTACAGATGTCATTATAAAAGCTGGAGAAAATCATTGTGTTGATTTCTTTGCTTTTCTTGGCTTTCTAGGCCTTCAGCATCTTTTAAATATTACAAACTGCCAACCGACTTCAACTACCACAGAGAGTAGAAACTAAACACCCACTCCCCTTGAAAAAGAAGGGCCGTGGATCTAAGTCCCAACAGCTGCACAGAATATTTGAGGGAATGCAAGGGTATGGCCCAGTGTTGAATACCAAGCCAATGTTGGCCCTGCATCTGGAGAACTCTCTCTTTGTATCTGCCCAGTCATGTCATCTCATTCTCAGTCAGCTGTACATATGTTTTTGCAGGACAGGCAGCTCACTGATTTCTTTGAAATTCGGTGAAAAATGTGAGGGCAAGTGTCTGCAGGTTATCTCCTGTCCAAATTAGTGATCTGTGCAAGTTGACACAGAAAGTGCTGCTGATGCAAAAGCAAACAAGGGTTGAGATACGTGCTTGTTCTCCTTCACATCAGTCCTCACAGATACACACCTTCTGGACTATTTTTAGCTTTTGGCTTGCCTGCACAAAGAAGTGTGAGGTCAGAGGACAATGCCCCATCCCCAAATTAGCCAAGGTATGATACAACATCAGATAGTTTTGTAGTCTCTCTCTTTTCCCTTTCTTTCTCTTTTTTTCTTTTCCCTCTCACTTTTCTCCCAAACAGCTTCTCTGATGTTCTTCTAAAGAAAGAGGGCTGACAGGTGCTATGGCCGGATAAGTCACTGAACCATAACTTCCAGCAGTCCTTACGCAGTAATAAGATTCTGGAAATTATAGTTCTCCATCTCTTTTACTAATGTAGGCCTTCCCTCTCCCCCATTACAAAGCACTGTTAAAAACTTATTAAAATTAGCACCACCAGTTGTAAACCTGTCTTTGGATATGTAAAGTCTGTGGCATCCATCTAGTTCTGTTAATGAAACTACAAGTACCAGAAGAAATGTAATCAAAGGCTGCTCCAAATATGTATATTAGATCTATGGATCATCCATTGCTGTACCAGCATATGCGCTAAAGAATAAATACTTTGGTTAGAAAACAGAGGCAGGAAAAGATAGGTATCTCATCAAATTTTTCACGTCAGAAAGGGAACCAAGTGAGACATAACAGATAACTGCAAGGTTGAGTGATGAAATTCCCATCAAAGATAAACAGCAAGAAGCAGTTAGGCATCTAATGTGTGTGTGCGTGCAAGTGCATGCTTGTGTATCTTATGAGTAAGTAGGATGTTTAGAAATGTTGGGCCAGAAGTTTGACAAACCAGGTACAGAATACAGAGGTGAGGAAAACTGGAGACAGAAGAGCTTTATGAACACCGCAGCACACACCTGCAGGTGAGGAGGGTTTCTCTCAGATGCCATCCAGCTGTGATATCATCTACATTATGGGCTATCCATCTCATGGCAGTGACCAAACTTGTGACAAAAATGTAGCTACATGAAGAGGCACATCCGGTATCACAAAGACCTGGGTGGGGCTTGCTAAGTAAAGTTACTTGCCAAGTAAAGCAAGCACAGCTGCACATTCTAAGGCATCTGTACCATCAGCAGAAGCTCAGTCCGTGGTGGGAACATCAAAATGATACCTTGCTTTTCCCACATGGTAAAGGAACAGCCAAGTTGCCATTGAGTGGTGTCTTCTCAAATTTTCCAATGGATGCTTGTATTCCACTTAAGATCTCTACTTCTTATGACAGCTTCCCCTTTCTCACTGCTCAGGGAGAGGGTGTGTATGCAGGGTGTACCAAAAGTTAGGCCCCATAGACAATTTATTATATAAATTACATTCAATATTTGAATTGGCTGCCATTTTCTTCTAAACACTTCCTTACTCATTTGACGCATGTCCTTTGGAAGTTCCTAAGTACAGTAACATTTTCTCCACCCCCACCCCCCCAGTAATTAATAAAACATATTGTGATTGGCCTATAAGGCCTAACTTTTGGTAGCCCACACAAGACTTCAATACTACCAAGGTACCAGGAGAGAAAAAGTCAAGATTCTTCCAGAAAGACATATGGAAGAACATTTACATAAAATTAACCCAAATATCGTTACCGTCTTAAACCAAGAGAAATGGTTTTGTCTGATATAGAGCATAATGGCATCAAAACATGCTAATCTGTGCTGCATCTCTTAAACATCCCCCCCCCAAAACATAGAGGGTCCCTGTAAAAGGCCAATTATTAGAGAATAAAACTTCTCAAGTGAGAATTGCAAGGCTGCACCTGCCCCACATTCATACATTGAATAGGAGAGCAGGAGACAGTAGAACTAAGCAGATGCCACCATTTCCATATCAGGCTCCCCAGGCTGCAGGGGACTGAGGCTTCCCATAGGCACAATCAGGAGGTGTGATACCCCCCATTGTTGACATCTGAGAGAATCAACCCATAAACCCTGAGAAGAAGAGAAAAGCCTTCCCTTGCATTGTCTCTCCCCTGGTCCCCTTCATCAGCATCCATGCAGGGTCATAGCTCATCCCGGGCTGCCCTGTCAAATGAGGACTGGAGCACATCTGAGTTCCTGGCCTCATTCCTCAACTCCTGCTGCTCCTTCATTTTCTGGGACTTGGCCCGGTCCCAATCTGTTTTGATATTCTCATTGTTCCACACCACCGAGGTCTCTGTATCGCTGATGTAGCCATTGTCCCCTGTGTAGTGTGTTGGATAAACCAGCAGGGGCTCCGCTGAGAAGGCCAGCAAATTCCGGTTGTCAAAATGTTCCATGTATTCAGTACTGTTGAGCAGGAAATGAAAGTCATGTCAGAAAAGTGCCTTCCCTGGATTTGTGATTGCTACAAAGCACACAAGTGAATTAAGAAGCAAGTGTAGAAAACTACAAAATAAACAAGGTGTTTGGGGTTGGGGGGGGGAATTGGCTGGAGGGAGGAAGGGGCTGATGGGACCCCCAGCCAATATTCATTTTGCTAGTTTTTGTGTAGGAGAATTATCATGTATCAAGCTCCTCTCTGACTAATTAATCAGGAAGATATTTCATACATTGAAGAGGATTAACGTCAATGTATACCTTGAAGATTCCATTGGTCCCTCCCCACCCACAGATTCAGAAAGATAGTGCTTATTCCTTTGGGAGTTTCTCAGCAACATTCAAGTATTCTACTTGGTGCACAGAAAGCTTTACTCAGCTTTGCTCTGAAATTACTTAGCTCTTAGGACATCTATGTTCTAGAAAAATCAGGATTTTTCCAAAACAGAAATGTCAGGAGTAAGAGCAAAACTCCATATTTAAGAGCCATCTAATAAAAAGCTGAGAACCAGTTTGGTTAAGACATTGAACTAGAAACTGGGAGACCATGAGCTCTAGTCCTGCCTTAGGCACAAAGACAGCTGGGTGACCTTGGGCCAGTTACTCTCCCTCAGCCTTAGGAAGAAGGAGACAGTGGCAAACCACTTCTGAAATCTTGCCAAGGGACCAGTCCAGGCAGTTGCCAGGAGTCAAGATTGACTTGACGGAACAAAACGAATAAATCAATAGCTATGATATTCCACTTGTGTCCATTCTCAAACAATATAGTAATCTGCACAGTGCCCAACATCTTTGGATGCAGAAAGAACTTGTCCCCCATCCAACCAATTCAGCTTTCTGGGCTATAAATTCCTGCTCGTGGTAATGAGGAGAATCTGCATCTATGCCCATCTAGGAGCTTCCTCTGAGGTTCCTCAGAGCAGGCAGTGATGCTGTCAAACTGGACCAGGCTATTGAAAGTGGCTCTTATGCCGCCAAATTTCAGCAGTGCAATCCTAGGGGATTCTGGGGGCTGCAAAAAACGGGCAAGGAATGCTGATTGCACTGCTCATCCTGCTCTGCCAGATGGAAATCATAGGAGGAAACATTCCAGTTCCCTTGTAAGAAATGCAAAACTTCTGCAAGCTTCTGTAAAGTCCCCATTTTGTTTTCCCCACACAAGAGGCAAGGCTTACACGGGGTGTTTGTCAAACATGACTGGAAGAAACTCATCCACTGGCAACATTTTGGAGAGGGGGTCAGCATCCAGCAGTTTCTTGGCCCCTTGGAGGGAGATGACATAGCCCAGCGTCCAGTAGGAGTAGTCAGCTTCCACCAGATTGCGGATGTGGGGCACAGCTTTCTCTGGATGCTCCACCTGCATGCGCTTCCGGCCAATGTAGCTAGAGGGAGACAGAGAGTGAAATCTCAGGAGGGGCAGGCATAGCCCGTATGAAGTTGTCTTTAAAAAGATAGATATTACCAACAACTCAAAAGTTCCATTTGAAAATTGTCTCGATTGTTGATAAGCGCTGTCTGGCAACATTAGAATTAGGATTTTCTGATAACAGAGCAAGGAAAGGGGGCAATTTGTTTAGAACTTAATTTCCAGCCTCTCTTTTCCCTTAAAGTGGTTATTAAATGTAATACTGTTTCACTCATACTTTTCATTAATACTGTTACATGTACTTATACTTTCTTTCTGTTAATTTTGCTCAATTAACTTATTTTTTAAATGGCTTTTATTGCTATTTGACTGTTGTAAATGACAATGTAATGTACGGTGCTACTGTGAAAGCAAAACTTCCAGAAAAGTAGTTACTGACAAGCCCATTTTGGTTCAATTCCAATTCATACATTTGGGGTTCCAGTCTATAAAGAGACTTTGAAGTTCAATTTATACAAACTCATATTATGATTCTTATTATCCCCATGTGTGACTGAAACTGCACTCAGTGAGTTTATGCTTTAATTCCAATTTTCAACTAGGGCTTTATTAAGAAAAGTGCATTGTTTTCTTCCCACTCCTGTTGATCTTAATATTTAAGGTGCATATTTTAATCATACTCATCAAGTTCGGCTACCTGCATCCATAGTTCACCAGTTCACTCATTCATCCACCAATGATATAGCAGATGATGTTGTATATTTGCACAAACGAGGAGAAAAAGAAGTAATTTTCTGTGGGGAGAAGGGAGGCACTACTGCCAAGATTTCTTAGCCAGCAGCAACCTGAGTGTGTTCTGCACTCACATTAAATCCCAGTCAAGGCCCTCTTCTTCTAAGTCAAACATGAGGTTCATCATGCGCCGTTTGAAGAAGATCTCAAAGCGCAGGTCATCCTCAAACACCACGGACTTCTCCAAGCCTCTCTCAACAACCTGGCAAAGCAACAGAATGATGCTCAGCTCCTTTTCTGAGGATGCAAAGTATTTAACAGAAACATTCTCATCGTGGCTTTCCCGTGTGGTTTAAGGCATTCAGGGCTTATCCCCCATTTCAGTTTTATTAATCAGGGTTCCATAATCAAGTATCCTCCAGGTAGGTAGAACTGCATTTCCCATAATTCCTAGAGTTACAAGACCACATTGGCAAATGAATGAATGAATGAATGAATGAGTGAGTGAGTGAGTGAGTGAGTGAGTGAATGAATGAATGAATGAATGAATGAATGAATGAATGAATGAATGAATGAATGAATGAATGAATGAATGAATGAATGAATGAATGAATGAATGAATGAATGAATGAATGAATGAATGAATGAATGAATGAATGAATGAATGAATGAATGAATGAATGAATGAATGAATGAATGAATGAATGAATGAATGAATGAATGAATGAATGAATGAATGAATGAATGAATGAATGAATGAATGAATGAATGAATGAATGAATGAATGAATGAATGAATGAATGAATGAATGAATGAATGAATGAATGAATGAATGAATGAATGAATGAATGAATGAATGAATGAATGAATGAATGAATGAATGAATGAATGAATGCTGGATGAGCTGAAAATTGGTACACTGGTTGAGAACATTGAGCTCTGTGGTAAGGAAATTGGGGAGCGTCAGAATAGGGACTAGGGTACCCTCACTCCCTTTGTGTGTCCTGCAGTTAAAAACAGAGACTTCTATCTATGACTGATGGAACAACTTGATGTGGCCGATAGATGGCAGCCCAAACCAAGAGTCACAGTAAGATTCACATCCAGTGGATTGGCTCCTGAGCCTTCATTTATCCTTCTTGCTTTCTGGCAGACGGCAAGAAATCCCGACCACACAGCGGACCAAAAGTCTGGCTTTTCTGCCAAAATAAAGCCAACGTCCCAGCTGTGACAGTACACCAGTACACATCTGCAAAGGCTCTTTTCAGTGCTTGCAAGCCAAAGCCTGAAACAAGTACAGCTGGTTCCTCCCTTAGATTCCCTGCCTCTGCTCACTGGAACAGTCAACGTATGTAGGGGAAGACACCCAGAACACCACAGATCAAAGATATTCAATAGCTTCAGATAAATCCATCCATTTTATGCTGGTCTATGACCATAATAAAGATGTGATTTGATTAAATCCATCCATTAAAATCCTGATCCTCATTCTGCAATACAAAGGACTGAATTCTGCAAATCATTTTTGCATCATTTATTCTACATAATTTATTTTGCTTCACTAGGCATAGGAATGATGCCTGGCTCTGAGTCCCAGACTTTGGTGGGAATCCTGCACAAGACTCTTACCCTAAGGTTTTGTTTTGTTTTTTTAAATGTTCAACAAGCATTGCTGCCTACTGGCATGCTTAATCTTCAAGCCACAAACATTATTTCTTTTTAAATGAAAAATAGAGATTTTGGGGGAACTGGGTTTAGAGCTCATCCCAAGGACCTGCAGTTCTCACTGCGTGTGTGTGCCAAAGAAGGTAATGGCTTCTGGCATGAACATCATTTACCTCTTTCCAAATCTTATAGTGGCTGAGGAAGCAACCTAATTCTCCCTTTGTGAGGGGACGTCCATGGTATGGGTCCTTGTAACCTGGCAACATCTTGATGCCCATGGCTTCCACTTGGCTGTTATTCATTGCCCTGGACCAAAGAGAGCAAAAAAGAGAGAAAGGGTAATCAGCTGGAGAGATACTACCTGGGAACTGGATGCAGACCCAACCTAGTCTGAATTCCCACCTCTGCCACAGACACCTGCTGGGGAAACAAAAATAATGATTTGTGGGAAAGCCATTGTTTGCATCTTGATCAGCCTGGGAATTCTGGAGGGTGCCAGGCTGGAGAAGCCCACATACCTCAACTTCAGGTGGAGCAGAAGCTTCCGACTAGCATAGAATTCTTCACCCAAGTAGCTGAATCTCAGTGCAAAGTTATGGATAACATAAAAACTTGTGTGCTATTACCCCGGTTAAAGATCAATTTGCCAACCACCATCTGCTCATGGCCTGGACCAAAACAGTTCATCTTCTGATTCTCACAATTCAGACAAAGAGAAGAAGTTGCTGTACATCAAATTAGATTAGCCCAGCACTTTCTGCTCTGTCAAACTGTGGCTCTCCAAAAGGAACCTTTAGCCTGGAAGACATCACTGAATTAGAGTTCCTAGCAATCTCACACAAGCATCTTCCATAGTGAAAATGCTGAATAGTGTAGTTCAGCAACTTCTACAGGGCCACCAATTGTCTACTTGCACCATAGATAGAAAGGGGCTGGTCTTACCACCTAATGATTGAGATGAAAGCCTCAAGTCAGCATAGGATTTCCAAGATACAAAAGCTGGGGTTCTTCCCCTAGACTTGAGCAACTTGTTCTAACTGGCACATGCTTAAAGGGTTGCCCAGTCCAATACAATGATCCAAGAATCTTCAATCAGTGTGTGATTGGGCTTAGGTCCCCTACTCTATTCTGGGGACAAAGGCCGCTACGAGCAGCTTTGTATTCTCCAGTAAGGCTCCCTCTTACGACACTCACTTCCCATCTACGGCTTCAACAATTTTGCAGTCAATCTCCTGCTCATAGAGGGTTTGCAGCATCCGTTCTCGTCGATCTGTCCGACGCTTGAGGTTAATCATGAAGACCTGGGGAAAAGAAAAAAGACAACATGGTAAACAGAACTACAGAGCAAAGGCCACATGGGCCAAACAGAGAAAGAAGTAAATCTAAACTGCCAATGTTAAATCTCACAAACCCTTGTAGCAGGATGAGGTGACGGAGTCCAGACAACAGCAGAACAGACTACCACTTCCTTAAACTAGGAAAACTAGCAAGTCAGTAATAATTAGGTATTGGAATTCCATAAGAATAGGAAACTATAGCTTCCTACAACTCCCAGCAGCCCTGGCTGGCACTGCCAATAGTAAGGGATGCTATGAGTTGTAGATGAGTAATCACCGGAATATTCCACGACATGAGATCTACTTACGTAGATCTTGATGATAGACAGACAGACTGACAGACAGATGATAAAATAAAAATATAATGATAATAATAATAATCTTATGATCCCCACATTAGGGTCTAAGGCAGAATCACAAGGCTTCCAAAAGCAAAGAGCAAGGGAAACCTGAAACATTACTTTCAGCCCACTCTTTACTGATCTGGATACCCTCCCAGATCATCTACATCTAAAGCAGTACAGAAGAGAGATGAATCAGATCCCCCACCCCCCCAGCAATGTTGTGATCTGCCAATGCAGCTCAAAATATAATATAGTGCACAGGCATAATCCCAATATTTGGGCACAGTTTGGGGAGCTAGCTTAGACAAATTAAGTTCTACTGATTTGTCCTAATTATTTATTTATAATTTCAGTCAGTCAGTCAGTTTATTATGGTACAAGCAATGTGTTCATGAACGTTCAGGTATACATCTATCTTAATAGATAGTAAATAAAATAAAATAAAATTTAACACAAAGTTAAAATTCATTTATGAATTAACCTGTCTACAATCTGTGAATGAGGTCCAAAAGGAAGAATCTGCCTAGGTTATAAACTAGACTCTAACATTATATAAAATGTGATAAAATCTAAAATTACAGAGATGTGAAAATATCTAAAATTTAATTAAAATGTGATAATATGTAAAGTTACAGAAAAAAAAATCTAAGATTACATAGAATATATCTGTCTGGCAGGAAATTGGCCCAACAGGATCTGGCGGATCTTCTATGCTGCGGGGCAAAACCTGGCCACTCGTGCTGTAATAAAAGGCAGTTCATCTATAAGCAGCATCTGGGCATAGGCCGAGTCTGAGGGACCACAATATCTGCTAAGCAGAGGAAGGATAAATCTGATTCGAGTGTCTTTGTAAAAGGAGCAACGAAGAAGAACACATTCTGTGGTTTCCACCTCTCCAGGATCACAGATTTAATTTCTATAAATGTATCCCAATTTCTTACCTCATCAAATCCCATCTTATCTGGGATTTTGGGAAGCAGAGACAAATGCCGAGAAGGTTCCACTGGAGGATTCTTAACTGTGAAGGAAGTCAATACAGAGATGCATGATTTCTTCCAAGGATTTTTTTGTTTTTAAGGAGAAGGAGCTACTCCCCAGATTCTTGGCCCAATTTTAGGCACAAAGCAGGTAGACAAATTAAATCTTTCTCCATGAGTAGCAATGAAGTTAGACAGTCTATGGGGCAAATTCAGATGGATTGAAAAAAAATGGATTTTCTGCTTAAAAAACGACCTTTTGAAGCTTGGGACACAAGTCAACTACAGCCACGTTTACACCAGAGCTGTAAGCAGAACTTCCCTGGTTGCCTACAATAAATTAAATTATCTAGAAACAAGCAGTGTGGTACATAAAAAAAATCCCATAATTGGACAATACTTTTATTAGGACTAACCAAAATGACACAAAAGAGTGTGTGAGCCAAAACATTTTAAAATTGAATTTATTCCTATTTTAACTCAACCTTTTGCCAGCATTTCATTTTCTCTCACATCCTGTCTTAATTTCTTAGTCAGAGTGGGCCCTAAAATTCCCAGTGCAATTCATGATGAGTAGAAATTTGAATGTAGGCCTCTTCAAATTAGGCAGGCTCTTAATGTGGACTAGAAACTTTCATGGACAATAGCAAGGTTCACTTTTTCATATGAAGATAAAGACACACATTACCAAAAAAGGCTGCCCTTCAATCTCCTTCCAAAAAGAAGGAAACCTCAAACTGGATGGAGAATTTATTCTTAAAAGTACATTACCCAATACTTTTTCATAAACTACTTTCCTTGACCTCCAGGTTCTCCCATTTCAAAACATGCTCCTTTAGCACAGACATTTATGACATAAATCACACAACTTTCTGTCCCCTCCCTCACCCTCTTGATTCAAACTGTTATCACCCGTTACATTTCTCTTGTACCCTCAAGTTCAATGCATTCCTAATAGGTGAAATTATAGTTTTATTCAAATCTGCATGAATGGAAATCCATCCAACAATAAAGCTGAACGTCATCCCTTTATAGCGATGTATGAACAAAACATACAATCAGATGCATGGAGGAAATTGATTGTGTCCAGTCAAAGAAAAGGGTTTGAAGACGTCACATTCATTCACTGCATGCTAAACTCTTTCACCTAAAGCTAATACTGGGGCCTGTCTATAACAGTGTTTCTCAGCCTTGGCAACTTTAAGACGTGTGGACTTCAACTCCCAGAATTCCCCAGCTAGCATGCTGGCTGCGGAATTCTGGGAGTTGAAGTCCACACGTCTTAAAATTGCCGAGGCTGAGAAACACTGGTCTACCAGCCCAATAATAAAAGAAGCCCTTACTTAGTTACACACAGAGACTATTAAACATTAAAAGCAACCTCCATCAATTCTACAGTGAAGTCTATTAAACTACAGAAATGCTTGAAATAAATAAAAACGGCCATGCCCATTCTTTACCTTTGTTTTCCAAAAGGAGCAAGTGTTTGAAAAAAATTCAAACATCCCAGGGCTTAATTTTTTTCTCCCCGATGTATTGGGTTTCATGTACAGAAAGGCTTGGACATCAGGAAGCTTTCATGCAGCCCCGCCAAGCCACCTTAGAAAAGGTCCTTTGAAAAAACTCCTATTTCTTCAGCTTCTCACTCAGTATGGTGGCCTGTTGTGTTTAGACATCATGAATTCAGTATAAACAAGCAAAGGTGGGGGCCCCAATGCTTGGCATACTGAAACACCCTTTCGGTTCACAAAACAAACAAGTGATCAAAACAATGACTGTCCTTTAAGCTAGCTCCCCTTCCATGTTGACTATATTTTCTCAAGTGGTGGCAAATTCCCCTTTAAGGGCAGCTGAATTTCATAAAAGGATCCTTGTGGAGCTGAAGGCCATACAAAGAATGACTGTGAAACATCCCCACAAGGAGAATTCAACCAGCTTCTTTGGGGAGCCAAGATGGTGGACTGCCACAGAGGCCCTGTGGCAACAGAGGACATTCCTGAGGCAGATCCAGGCTGGATCTTGAACCAGGAAAGCAGGATGGTTGAGCCATGCGGGAAAGGCTTTAGTTACCTTCACATGGTTGCTGACTGTTCAATATCACGTTTCCAATGCAGTTTGATATATAACTACCCAAAAGCCAGCCCTGTGGGTTCCTGTGAGGCATATTCCCAGGGAGATGGATAAACTTGCAACAGTCTTTTGTTTTATATCTGGATGCGCTGCCTTCACAGCAAACCTAGGCCATTTATATTTCCATTTTAGAGGCAGGGAATTAAGTTGACAGGCAAGAGATTTGGCTAGATAAGCCTGGAAGCCGAGGACTGTTGGACCAGCTCAAGACTGCAGCCGTCTGCTTCAACACTAGCCAGATGGCTGGCCACTTAGAAGCCTAAAAGTCAGGCATGAAAAAATCTCCTCTACTATCTGTCCCTCCAGTAACTGGCATTCAAAAGTATCAAAAGGTCACCAGCTGAACCCTCTTCTTTCTAGGAAATGCTTCATGACAAGGGAGAAACCAAATTGCTGCCATATTACATTAGCCGAAGGAGGGTCAGCTGCACACAACAGTTTTGCTTCATCCTACAAACAGAACACACGGCTTCTTCCCAATAGTTGCTCCATATATTAGGTTCCTCTTCCTCAATCATGACAATTCTGGTTATTGCTCACAGCATCATCTCTCACTAACAATCTGTATTTAAATTTGAGAACTTAATAAACACTGTGGATAGAGGGTGGGGGAAAGAGTGGTTGTGCTACAGTTTTGTAGGATTAGAAGAATTAGTGCAAAAGTTGGTCTGAAAAAGTTAATCTCCACTGAAGAATACTTTAGTGAATAACATGTTTCTTGTCCTTATGGCTGTGAAGGTGTGCTAGAAAACGTGTGCCCTTAGAAATCTCATGGAAGTGGCAGTATAAGAGTTGGTGGTGGGTTGTCTAAGCCAGGGGTCGGCAAACTACAGCCCATGGGCCAAATCCAGCCCATTGCCTGTTTTTGTACAGCATGAGAGTAAAGAATGGACAGGTGGGCGGATGGCAGTTCACCAGGCCCAAGCCTCAGCAAAGTTCCTGGAGCCAAGGGGCAGGGGCAGGGCATCCTGGGTGGTGGCAGCAGCCTACTTGCTGGTGGGGCAGCACTGTCCAATGGCTGCCCCGCTCCTTGGCCTGTAGATCTGCCAACCGCAGGCGGAGGAGGGGCGGGATCTGGCCCTCTACACAAAAAGATTGCCAACCCCTTGTCTAACCCATTGCCTCCCTCCACTGATAAGCAAGAGTGGAATTTGCAAAACAAAATCAGCCATACAGACATCAATACACAACTCAGCTTTAATGAAAGCAAACCTGAACTGAGCCAACACCAGATTCTTATTCCTTGAACTTAGGTCTGAGGGCATACGGCATTTTCTAGAAAAACCCAGTGCTGATATCACATCAGGGCTGGCTATCTTGCTCTTCTCTAGATGAAGCTTCATAACTCTCTTCATGTTGTGGAAAGCTGATGCTTCATAAAGAATCCAAACTCCTTAACTGCAGTTTTTCCCTTTAGTTAAACTACCATTGTAAACACACTCACCCATGACCTCCAACTGCACATGCATGAAACTCTCCACTTCATCACGCAGAGTGCTGTGGGATCGCAGAGGCACCGGGAGGAAGCCATATACTTCTTTATTGCACACGTACATCTGAACTTCTAAACAAATTGGGGGGGAGGGAAGGGAATGCATGAAAACAGATGACGCAAGGCAACAAGAGATCCTTATGCCCATTCCCTTGGCAGGACTGAACAATTTGGTCAACATCATGCGCCATCTCTATTTAATAAATTTGGGCAAATTATTTAAAATTATTCCTACCTGATAAAGGCTCACTTGGATTTAGGTGGGTGGCCAATTAAACCCAAACACAGAAGCCAGTTGAATAGAGAACCAGAACTAGGAATTTGCATTGTTAGAGCCCGTTCTGCAGGAGGTCATCATGCAGGAACGTGGGAAGAAATCAGCTTTTGGAGTCTCCCAAATTGATTTGCTTCCCTCTTGGCTACCCCAGCAAGATACAGATTGGCAATATTATTTGTCAGAATTGAGGGGTGTGATGGCAAGGAATTTTCAGTGAGGGAGAAGGAGTTTCAGCATTCTTGCTTTGCCCCAGGACAACAAAAACCAAAACCAAAAGTTCAAACTAAACTGTGAAAATGTAACTGAGGACAACGTAAAAACAGGTTGTTGGATTCTGCTATTGAAAACCTGCTTGTTGGGGATTTATAGCATGGCGTACACGGAACACCACTGACACCAAAGAGTGAGGATAATAGCCTCTAAGGTTAAAAAAAAAACCCAGTTGCATTTGCAGATTCCCAAGACCATCAGCTTGGATTGGTAGATTTATTTCTTTAGAGCCCTGAATTGAGTCAGGCAGCAAATTAAGTTTATCCATGCTGCTTTTTGCTACCCATTCTTTGCCCCTGCTGTTGCCACTTGAGTCTCATTCTACGACAGCTCTCTCCTACATGCATAATTTCATCCAGCTAAAGCCAAAGAGATAACTGGATGTACCTTTCCTCTGTGAGAAAACATCAAGGTGTTTTGGCAACTGCACTTCCTTTCTCTGTTTGTCATACCACCTTGGAAGAGACCTGCTAGGTCTTAGAGGCCGAGGCAAGACAAATGAGAGCCACCTCTTGCCAGAATGCTGCTGTTTGCAAGTGGGAGACAGTAGCGCAAAACTGCTGATCCACTTCTCCTATGACAGCCTTCCCCAAGCTGAAGAAGGAGAGTTGACACCCCAAGAGAATCGGGGAAGATTGATCAATTGCAAATGGATAGGATTGAGGCCGAGAAGCCAACAACACCTCCGGATGGACTGGCAATCATATGCATAAAGTTCTGTAAGGAAGCCCTCCCAATCAAAGATATGATTTGCCCTAAGGGTCTTAACAAACATTGTCTCTGGCTTAGCTCCTGAAAAAGGAGATGCTTATTCAGTAGATTGACCAACAAGGCTGATCATGTCCTTCTGATCAAGGAAAGGCAGCATTTTGCTTACCTGCCTGTCTGCAGGCAAAGGCAAAGACGATGATATCATCAAATGCCCAGGTATAATCTGGGTGGGGAGGGTAGAAAATAAGGTTTTGTGAGGCCTCTTTCTGTAGGTTGATGAGAAAGGTAGAGTGCACCATGGGTACAGCGAAGCAACCACGGCGATCCCGCTTCCGGATGGGGATGTAAGCAGGTGTGCGCTTATAATAGCCCTAAGAGAAGAAGGAAAATTCCAGGTGAGCTTTGCCACAAAGAGATGCAAATAGGGACCCTAACCCAGGACAGCTTACAACTCTCCAGCAGCAACTGCAAAAGAGATACAAAGCCTCATCATAAATTCAAATACATAATGCTTTAAAAAATAATCTAAGGATCTGTAATCTAGCACATCTGCCAGAAGGGGAAGAACCACCAAGCAAAGTGAGGATATGAGATGACAACGCTCAAAGACCACCGGTTAACCATTTGTAAGCATCTCATAACCCAGGACCAGATCAGGAAAAGGAGAATCTGCTGTAGTTCATGATTTCATTCTGGAGTGGCCAGCTGACCTTGAGGCATCACTGAGTCTTGGATGAGTGAAGATGGTGGGGCTTATCTGATGCAAAGTTACCTGCCAGGTTACTTTGCAGTGAGGCAACACAACCCTGCTGGTGACCCCTATTATGGGATTACCCTCTTCTAGTGGTTTTAAGTGCTTGCATCTGACAGGAGAGTTCAGAATAGGTTAGGACTGTAGGGCATACTGCCCATTCTGCTTCCTAACATGCTCCCTGTTAGATGTGCTATTAATCTCTTGAGTGACAATGAAGTCCTTAGGACTTACTGGAACTGGTAGAGTTCGACATTCATGGATGGCAGATCTACCAAGGAGAATTAATCTTGAAAATTCATTGTTATCTCCAGACTAGGGATAGCATGCATCCAAACACAATTTGCAGGGGAACCACAGCAAGAGAATGCTATGGCTCCGACTCTGGCTTGGGAACAGCCCTGAGGTATTTGGCTAGCCACTGGGAAAAACAAAATGTTGGATTAAGAGGGATCTGGCTTGACCCAGCAAAGCTATTCTTATGTTTCCATCCAAGGGTCATCCTGAGGGATCCCTGGCAGTCATGAAAGCCACAGGTGAGTCCCAATAGGTAACTGGAGGCACTCTGGTCAGCAAGCATTGGCTCGACCTGATATTTTGTTGGAGATAAGGAGAACATAATCTGGTTGAGGCGACAGCAGAAGGACTCCTCCTGCCATGATCAGTACCTGGTTAAGTCTTGGCTGTGGCCTCAGATGCCAGAAAAAGGTCTAAAGTTCAGCCATAGCTTCCAAAACTGCATACCTGTGAGGTCATCCCACACCAGAAGTTCGAATAGGCTGCTCGCGAGTCCAGCATTGGTGCCACCACAGTCTTGTTCTCAGCTATCAAAAGGCTCAGAGTGTCAGGGTTTGTCAATAAATTGTCTGCATCCACAAACTGCAGAGAAGAGCGTTAAAAAAGAAAGCAAAGTGAGTTCTAAACCGGCCATTTCTATTGAAAGGTTGTGTCTCTCTGTAATAGCTGGTAAATATAACATCTTAACTGATCAAGTACAGATCAAGAGAGTGGTTGAGATATTGGACTAGGAGCAGGGAGACCCAGGTTAAAGTCTATCCTCAGTCGCCATGTATTAAACTTATGTTGGACTGGTCTTGAACCATAATAAAGACAAAACTGCTATTACTACTACTACTACTAGAAGCTCCTGGGAGACTTTGGGCCAGTCACTCTCGCTCAGACCAAACTACCTCATGGGACAAGGGTGTGTTAATTATGTCACCTTGAGTTGATAAAGGAAGTATCAGATATAAATCTGATCAATACATAAATAAAATACTACATATGTTTTCCTTAGGCAGTAGCTAGTATAGTAACAAAGGGCTACAAGTACACAGAAGCGTCTCTCTCTTCACATGTGAAGCAGCAGAAATGCATGATTATGTTGCAGTTCAGCTGTAGGAGAGACCCTACATAGCCTGTTCAGAAATCTCAGACAGTGAAAAATCATTCAAGGATGACGCAACGTAACCAGAGCCTGGTTCTGCTTCCAGAAGCTCAGGAGCAATGTGCACAACGTGAGTTCTATCCAAACAAACCTGCCAATGTGAGTTCCACCCAAAGAAACTCAAAGAAACCTGCCAGCAGATCCAGATACAATTAGGTATCACTGCTTTTCATGCATTGGGCAGGGAAAACATAATCCACATTTAGCCTCAGTAAGAAGGATCCATTTATACAACTCATCTGTTGCCAAGATTTCTGGGCTGGAGGCCAACTCTTCATTCCAGAACGGAAGTATCAGGCATGACCAGCCAAGAGGCCGACCCCATCAAGACCAGCTGTTGTACTGGCTCCCTCTTTGCTCTGAAATCTCAGTGCAGCTGCTCGTTTGGGAGAGACAAACAGAAAGGGAATAGGAGGCAAGGGGCGGAGGAGGGGGAAGGACACACAATGGACAGGCTGAGAAACCTCAGTTGCATTCACAGACCATGAAGTGTCAGACCCAGCCAGCTTCAGAAGATAATATCCAAGCCAAAGGAAAAACAATCAGTCTTACTTATTCAGCCCTGAGAGGTATTAAATTCCATATATTACGAAAGGTAATACAGTACTGTACATGTACTTGTCTGACTCAACATCTGATAGTTATTTTTGGATGGATTTGATGGTATTTCAGGAAACATCAGATGGGCAAAAGGAATGAAGTAGTAAAAAGGACTATGCGCATTGAGGGACAATGACTAAAGGACATGAAAAAGAGATGATGGAGTTTTTAAATTTTATTCCAGTCTTCTACCCTCAGGCGCTTTCTATCTCCTTCACTCTCTAAGGCATCTGGAACTACTGTATAGCAAAAAAAAAAAAAAAA